TATATATATATATATATATATATAATATATATATATATATATATATATATTATATATATATATATATATATATATATATATATATATATATATATATATATATATATATGTTCAAGAATGAATTCAAGATCCACAGCTGCCATGCTCAAAGCAACTGCTCAGGGATGGCAATTACTTTGGTATTACAATTATGTATATGTTTCATAACTATAATCCATCTTATCCTGTTAATACCCTTGAAAATTCACTCCTTATGATTGCTTCTAATGAAGGTTTATGCCAATTTTTTTCACCCTATATTCACATAATTAACACGAGAGAGATCTCAAACACACTTCACCCTTTTTGCAGCATTGTTAGGTAAGCAAAAGTGGTTCATAGAACACTTGAGCTTTCTGTTTTTGAAGCAAAAATAACTTTCATTAAATTAGAAAAACATAGCCAGGGGACTGGATGAACAACTCGAATCATCCAGTGAGGTTCTACCAATAGATGCAAGCTGGTGGTGGGCTTTGCAGTTAAGAGTTCTTGGAATAAAGCTAGCAGAGAAGGATGCAAGTTTGCTCAATAAGAGCTTTCAGAAACGAGAGCCCGGAGTTGCGAGGAACTTGCTTGGAGACATTGGTGTCGTTGATGATGGTCTGGCCATCAGATTGGCGAAGAGTGTTCTTCCAACACATGCTACTCAGCATGTCACGACCCGAGTCTGATGAGCCAACTGACCAATAACTCCATTTTGGTTCTTGCAACCACGGACCAAAATGCTTAAGCGGGAGGTAATAATAGTACACTCATCAGACCCTTATAAGTCAATCTTAATCCTGCCCACTTTCGATGTGGGACTAATCAGGGGTGTTACACAGCATACTTTGGGGTAGGGTTCTCAATTTCGATATGTTTCGTTCGATACAGACAGAATGTACCGTTTCGAAAAAATATCGATATGCAGACCATTCTCTATCGGGTAGTACCAGTGTTTTGATCGATACCAAGGTGTATCGATCGATACCATTTCTGATTTCGATCGTTACCGAGACATATCATTTGATTAGGTAAAAATATTTTTAAGGTTTTAAGGTATACCGTCGATATATCCTAACGTATCGACAGTGTACATCGATATATATGCTTGATGCATCGATACAGATCAATATTTAAAACCCTACTTTGGGAGCCTCAAAGATTGCCGGTGCCTTCAAGCCAGCTAAGAGTAGTATTTCATGTTGTAATAAAAAGACATCACAAAAGTAGAATATTTTATCAATTCACACATATGTGGGAGTTTATCAGCGTTGTTTGTTAGATAAGCATGATTTGATATACCGAGTCCAATGAATGGGTGATGAGTCAACAAAGTGTTAGAGAATATTTTTTTTCATTCATTTAATCAATGGTTATACAAAGACTCCTTCCCTAGCATATTTTCATTTGAACAATTTGAATTTATATAATTAAGATAGATATGTCAAACTGATTATAAATATTATTTCTTCACAATGAACAAGTAAAGACTTACTAACAAATACGTTTTAAGTTAGATACTAGATATAGATATTTTCCTATCCTCAAATAAAATTTACCTCTAATAAGTATAAATTATTATTATTTAATTAAATAATACTAAAAAATAGTCTTGATAAATATATTTAATCATACGATTAAAGAGTAGGAATAGAAAAACTAAGGGCTCATAATTATGTCACGTCATTTTTACCTTCAAAATTATTTTTACATTCATTATCCAAAATGAATAATTTCATGTGAGCTAATAGGATAGTATTAAATACTGACTTATTATACCCTTGTGTTCCTTAATGGGAGGGAGCAAGCACAAAGATCATTCGTTTAGTAGCGGAGGAATCACAAAAAAGGATTAAAAAAAAAAGAGGAGGAGGTCGACGAGAAGATGCCAACGGTTTTGTTTGCCTTGAAGAGATCTCTCTATTGTAAGCCCGAGCCGTCAAGAGGTTCATGATCCAAAAGCCAGGAGCCACCCTGGATCCCTCTTAAGAAGGAAAGCAGAATGGTCAGGGTGCTCGAGATCCATCCCCAACCTCAGAGATGTCATCCATGGGAACCAGAAGCACCTTGACGAGCCACCAAGTTGCAGTCCGAGGTCCATAGGGAGTAGCGAGTTCCTAAACCCACTCGCCCACGCGGTCATTGTCAACCAGTCCAGGCGTGAGCCAACGATAAGTACTGGATATGGAGCCGGCCATGAGGGTGAGTCAAGACGGCACTATTCTCTGCTCTCTGCTCCAGTATAACCCTTCCTGTAGAAGAGCCACCAGCACTCCAACCGGAAACGCTTCATCTCTCGCTACTGCTTTGCTTGGAAATCATGTTCACCATGCTGCTTCAACACCAAGGTTCTCTCATCAGACAGATCTGCAGAAGTCCTCTGCAGCTGTGACCTGCCAAAAATTTGGGGAGAAGTTTGTGAAGTGGGAGAGTTTGGAGGCACACCATCTGTCCAAGCATGCAGGTATTATGTTAATCCTATTTCATGGCTTGAAACCCAGCTGGAGATGCAGATTAGATTTGACGATTTTCATGTTTCCTATAATTCTTTTCATTTCTTTCTCGCATCACCATCTTCTTTCTTGAAGGTGATATCTCTGACTTGACTGGTTGTTCGAGCGAAGTGACTGCGATTCGCATCCTTAGTAGAAATAATAAACAGAACAGGCTGGTCGAAGACCGATCGCAGTTGCCGACGGATTGAGAGGGTGCTGAAGGTCCACAACACCCCAGAGTCTCTCGCTCGCTTCTAGGAGCAAAGGGAATTGGTCAGAACAAAAGCCAGTAAACTCCCGAAGAAGCGCCCCAGATGCTTGGCCGACGGCAACGAACAAATGAGGCTCCATGGCACCACCATTGCCTGTTCTCTTTCCATGACGGGCGGCTCTTCGAGCCTTTGCGCGTCGGAGAGATGCAGCGATTGTAAGATCATCAGACATGGATTCCCCACGGAGAAGGAACCCAAGGGAGGGATCGGTGTTTTCCCGACTTCCACTAGCGGCAGAGCACATCGAGATGAATGAAGACGATCCTTCCATAAGGAAGCATTGCTGGTGGGTAGAGTCATTGCTGGGAGGGTTCACAGGCCATCGCACGACTACCAAGAGCTTATAGGTCGATCTGCCTACGATTCCTTGGCAGGGAACGTTGGTCTGTATGCAAGGATGAATGCCCTATAATATTTTTCTTGATTTGTGATCTCATATATTTGTTCCCAAGTTATCTGCGACCTCAACCCTCGTCTGCTACTATAGCCAGCCGGTCAAGCTGAGAGACCCCTAGAGTTGTCTCGGGGACGAGAGCGGCTTCGAAGTAAAGAAAGTTTGTGGGCGAGCTCGCACATGACATGTTTACCGATGTAGTCAATGTTTATGCTTATCTTCTTTGGTTTTTTACGTAATAAATTGAGAGTGACACCTATCTTACCTCTTCCCATCCGGTCAACCTAATTCACCAAAGAAGTCAACGCTTACCTGCGAAAGATGTTGCGAATTGGCTTTTTTAAGGCAAACATGAGACCCCCCTTTTTTTTAATTGACTGTTGCTAATTGACTTTTCATTGGTCAATTAATTTGTACAATAAATTCAAACTTTAATCACTGTTCAACGATATGTCACCGCCGTTATTGTATACAGCAGCGTCGTCCCAGACGTCACAGCGTCTTCTACGTGGTCTTTTTTTTTCTCTCCTCACACATGTAGTTGCGGAGAAGCAACGACCGGCTTCCAGAAAAATCGCTGGGACCGTCACCCTTCCGGGACCCATTTTGATCTTATCCATAAGCCATGTGCCGCGCAGAAAAATGTGGGGCCCACTTTGTTCTCCATTAACAACGCGGGTGGCCGTCCGAGTGGGTCGTGACAGAGTACGAAATCAATGTGCCTCTTGTCTAGTTTTAGCGGCACACGGCCACGTCAGTGATTCCCTAACTCTAACGCATCGACACGGACGGCCGAGATGGAGTCTGACAAATCAAAAGTGTCGAGAATACCCGCGGGAACGTTCTCCGTCCGTCCGTCGGATGGAGATCGGACGGCGGCCAGATCACAACACGTGAGGTCAGACCCACCGGTCCCGCTTGTCCTGAGGAGGGAGGTCACAACACGGCACGCGTGGTAGAAGCCGCGGCGGGCCAACGAGGGCCCGGCTGTGCTAATTGGTTGCCACTTAGAGCTGCCAGATCTTGATCGCACGGCGGAGCCTGGAAGAAAGAAACGAGGAAGCGGGGTAGGAGGGCGCCGCTGAAGACCATCGAGTACGCGGGTAAGTTGACCGAAGGCTACCCCTCAGCGACAGCTTAACGACAGCGTTAAGCTGTACGATCAACCATCTCTCTCTCTCTCTCTCGGCTATATAAAGCCGCGGCTCTCTGGAGAAATAGGAAGCAAAAGGAGAACTTTCCTTCCTCTAAAGAAAGCCGAGGTGGAAGGTGAAGCGAGGCGCCGACATCTTTGAAGCAACCTGCGAAGAATTAGAAGGTAGAATCGGAGACTTGTATGTTTTCTTTAGCAATTCGTTTGCTTTGAGAAATCTGTTGAGTTCTGATGGATTTTTCTGTATTTCCCAATGATTGAAACTACGATATGGGGTTGATCGAGTGTTTTGAGGTAGCTGATTCATGTAGAATCCTGTGATTGTTTGGGGAAATGAAGTTGCGGGGTTAGACTGTTGCAGGTTTCTCTGCTTTTGCCTTTTGGGGTTAGATCGATGTTGGTGATCTATCTTTCCCGTTGTTTGTCTTGAGTTGTGATACGCACGGTGGTTTATGTGTCTAAAAGAGGATCATGTGGCATATGACAACTGCTTCTCTTTCTCCTAGTCTTTAGACTCTGCCTATAGATAGAAATAAAAATCTCTCTGAGAAAAAAAATGGAAAAGGAAAGGGAGACATAAAAAAGTGTGTTACTGTTGATTGTTAAGCTGCTTGAGCTTGTTCGATTGAAATTTGTTGGTCTTTTTGTGTTCCTTGTTCCCAAGTGGTAGAACATGTTAGGAGTTGCTGTGTATTACTCATAAAACACACCTATCCTGTGAAATCTATAGTGACTAGAAAAGTTTCTGCAATACATGCATTGAAATCTTTGATGCAAACGGCTCATGCCCAGTCCTACTATGATGCTTTATTCCAATATCATCAATCTTGTTATTGCTTAACCCCAAAAAGCAGAGGAAATAATGTTGTTCATCAGTATAACTATCTTCATCTATGCCAGTAGATTTCTTTAAAATCTTGCCGTGTTTGCAATAGTTATAATCTTATCAATGTAATCTCAGTTTTTTATGTTGAAGTTAAATGAATGCCATTGTAGCAATTTCAGGTTATAATAAACAACTTCGGAGTAGGTGATCTTTGAAAAATCCTTCTTGGATGATACAAAAGATTTTGGTCTCCTCCAAGGAGCTAGAAAACTCTTTTAGCTGTGTAGCAAGGGATTCTGTTTATGAGTTATCCATATGACTTAAGAAGACAAGTGGGAGCTTGACTAGCTAAGGTAGATATCAAGTTTCCGGTAGCACACAGTTGTCTATCATATTTGTCAGCATCCTATCACATTAGACCCTTACAAAGTTCTTCTTTCTTGACATTGTCAAGACATTTGATTTCAGATCATGTGCACATAAATCAACATGTGCCTATTTTTTTTTCTCAGTTTTGAAATAGAATAAGGTCGATTGAGACAAGTCATATATGGTAATTAGTGCACAAAAAGGCTAATAAGATGCTGAAAGACTAAACCAGAATTGCAATATGCAAAAGGTTGTATCCCTCATTGGTGCTGGAGTTTGATCGAGTGTTATGGATGATCAAATGTCGTCAGTGCACATGTTACAATCTGATGATAATGTAGCTTCATTTTCAGCAAACCATTCTGTTTTTTGCTAGAATGGGTTATTGCAACAGACAAGAAGCTTGAATCTTTTTTGTTCGCCATGAAGCTAGAATAGAATTATTGCAACGATTATGTAAAAATTCCATCTATGTGCCTTACTCACAAACAACAAAATATGCTCTGTGTTCTTATCACTTGAGTTGTAGATGAATGTTATTTTTGCCTAATGTCATAGCTAACTATACTTTGTGCATATTACTTGTGTGAAAATATTATAAAATTAAATAGCTGTGCATTTGCTTGTGAACGAGGAAGAAACGATGTAGGGACCAGGATCTTTCCCTAATCCACCTCTAGGGCCCTAAAAATTTTTGATTGCTTTGTGCCATTTGTTTCCTGAATTGCATAGATGATTTGTTGTTTTAATAGTTAAGTACCATATTAATTTTTTAGTTTTAAATTAATGCATTAAATGTCATTCCTTTTGTTGTTTTTTCCTTTCAATATCTATATGCATCTTGCGGGTCTGATTTCTTTAGAAGCTGTTGTAGCCTCTTCCAGTTTTTCTTATCAGACATGCTTTTAGGTGATATATGCTGAAGAGATATCTTCTTGTTCTTCCTTACCTGCAGATATATCATGAATAATTGATCCTCGTCCTTCTAGCATGGACTCTTATTGGTTTTCTGGATTGACTGGTGCAGACATAATCTGTGAATACTCTTCTCCGAGAGATCTTGCATACTCTAAATGGACATTAGATACCGAAAAATTAGCTCTCGGCAACTCACCTAACTCCCCTCTTTCCAGCCAGCTTGAATGCATCAGTTTGTCTCTGCTAAGCAATAGTCAGGAGCAGAATAGCTCAACAGAAACTACCTCAGCGGTGAGCCCATCTGAATACTCTGCGTTGGACACTGACAACGCAGTCAAGCAGTCCCAAGTTGACATTCCGGAGGGTGTCCAGGTACCATCGGATTCACTTTATGCAGTTTCCAGGCAGAGCATGAGACACGCTCTACATGAGATTGAGACTGTGCTCATGGCACCAGACACGGATGAACCGACAACCAGCACAAGTGCAGAGATGACTGAGAATAAGCAACCTCCGCTCACAAGGCAACGGTCCAGGACATGGACCCATGCGACCCAATTGGAATCTGCTGATCGGATACATCCCCACTACCTCTCCGGTAGATGTTTGAATCCAGAGGTCCGTCCAGAGAAACGTCAGAGAGAAATGAGCTATCCACCATGTGACAATGTGAAACAGCTTTTGATCAAGTGTGCTGAAGCTCTATCGGAGAATAAGATAGAGGAATTTAAATTGTTAGCTGAAGAAGCCCGAAGTGTTGTTTCCATTAGCGGAGAACCAATCCAGCGTCTTGGGGCTTATATGCTTGAAGGCTTGGTGGCAAGGCATGAGTCTTCGGGCACCAACATCTATCATGCCCTGAGGTGCCGTGAGCCGGAGGGCAGTGAGCTCCTTTCTTACATGAGGATCTTGTATGATATCTGCCCCTACTTCAAATTCGGGTATATGGCAGCAAATGGAGCAATAGCCGATGCGCTAAGGAACGAGGACAGTATCCACATTATTGACTTCCAGATTGCTCAAGGGACCCAATGGATCACTCTGATACAAGCATTAGCTGCAAGACCCGGAGGTCCGCCACATGTGCGGATCACAGGGATTGACGATCCAGTGGCGGAGTATGCTCGAGGAGGTGGCCTGGATATGGTTGGGAAGTTGTTGTCGGACATGTCCAACAAGTTCAACATTCCGCTCGAGTTCAAAGGTTTGCCTGTGTATGGGCCTGAGGTCACGAGAGAGATGTTGGACATAAGGCCTGGGGAAGCACTCGCCGTCAACTTCACTCTCCAGCTCCACCACACGCCCGACGAGAGCGTCGATGTGAACAATCCTCGCGATGGGCTGCTAAGGCTGGTGAAGGGTTTATCCCCCAAAGTGACAACCTTGGTGGAGCAGGAGTCCAACACCAACACGACGCCGTTCTTGACCAGATTTGTGGAGACGCTAGATTATTACTCCGCAATGTTCGAGTCGATCGATGTGACATTGCCTAGGGATAGCAAGGAGAGGATAAACGTGGAGCAGCACTGTCTGGCCAAGGACATAGTCAACATCATCGCCTGTGAAGGGAAGGACAGGATCGAGAGGCATGAGCTGCTGGGTAAGTGGAGATCCAGGCTGAGCATGGCAGGTTTCAAGCCCTACCCACTCAGTCCGTATGTGAACTCGGTGATAAAGACACTGTTGGGTTATTACTCTGATAAATATGCGTTGGTGGAGAAAGACGGCACGTTGCTGCTGGGTTGGAAGAATAGGAACCTCATCTCAGCTTCTGCTTGGCACTGATCACAACCCATTAGAAAGAGAGACCCTCTTAGAAGCACAGGTAAAGATCGTTGTAGGGTTTGTAGGACATCCAGTTAAAGTGCATCTTCTATCTGATGCAGAATTCAGCTGTGCTGCATCCATTGCTGTAATCTGAGCATTCTGTAACATCGTACCAGCTTGTATTTAGCCGGGGAATTTAAAGTGGCATGTCGAATTTCTATTAGAATCGTTTGTTTCCTTCCTTCCTGTTAAATCTTCTACTGGGTTTGCTCGAGCAAGGTGGAGATTAAATCATTTTTCTTTTTCCTTTTGGGCACGGGGACAGGCTACTGATGAATGGCACAAAAAATGTGAAGAACATGAGAAAGGAGCATTACACCAGAGTAAACAGGGTCGGGTGTGATTCTGTTGGTCGGTTTTGAAATAGAGCCAGAAAGAAACTCTACGGAGGACAGGGACAAAACTAAAGAGATGATGAAGGAGAGCGATTGTCTTGTCTTGTTTCCTATTCTCTTTGACCGTGCGTGGCGATATCAATTTGTGAGGTGTTTTGCCTAACTTTGATATGTAAGCAAGTCGCCAAACAATGCTGCATTTTGTAATTCTAGAAGCTTCCTATACCATAAGGGAGTTACGGGAGGACCATTGTGATAGTGTAATGGCTTGCCCATGTCCCGTGACCAACATTGTATCGTAAGGCGAATCAAAATTAGGGACGAATTTAAGCAAGAAAACCTATTCTCTTCTATATTATAACGTAATTAAGGGAAACTGCTATTTACTGTAGCGTCAACTGCCCACAGTGCCAGCCTATTTTTTGCAGGCTGCCACAGGCAACAGTGACGAGGCTGCTATCGGCCAGGAGGGTATATATATGACACACGGCATGTATTTGTCTGGCTCGGTTAAAGTACTGGAAACCAAAAAAGCAAAACGGATTCGCGAAAAACCTATTTCAATGCTATATATTCCCTTCCTTCCATCCACGGCTTAAAACTCGGTTCAACTAAACCATAAAAGACAAAATCCGAGAAAACGGGCTGTTACACGAAGCTAAACTTGGAACATTTTAAACCGTAATCAATTACACCATTTATCGATCTCATTAAACCCGCCTCCAATTAATTCTATTGGAGAAACAGTAATTCCCAACTTAAGAAGTGAGTGAGCAAACCCCCCAAGAAACCCAAAACTTAACCCACTCAACCTCCCTATAACCCTATCTAATTCCATTTTCTTTCTCCCTTCAGACATACAACCGTAAGGAAGTAAAAGCTAAATGACGACTATTTGTATGCAAAAACTGGAAATATTGACAGACCTGCTTCGATCGCTGCTTCCAAAGGGAATGGAGCTCTTTGCGTGGGATGACTCAGTCGGAGGCGTTGACGGCGGAGGCGTTGACGGCGGAGACGAATGGAGGGCGGCGCTCCACCTCCTTCTGGAGCGATGCCACCTGCTCCACCGAGAAGACACAAAGCCCTCTTTCGTAGAGCTTCTCCTGGACCCGACGCGAGTTCACCACCACCTGCAGCATCTGCTGGCGGTTGAGACGCTCCAGCCCGCCCAGTCCCCCGCCGCGGCCAGAGGACACTGGCGCGGCCGAGAACTCAGCTGCGGTCGGCATCGAACGGAGGGCTGCCACCTGGGTTTGCAGGAAACGGATGTACTTGTACGCCTCCTCCAGCATCGACCCCGTGTCCATTCGCCGTTCCCACGGCATCAGCGACTCGATGATCCGCGTACGGTCGCTGATCTTCTTCCGCCGCTGACGCGACAGCTCGCTCGATGGCAGCGGTCGCCGATGACGCGGAGTCGTAGGAGCAGTAGGAGGAGGAGCACACGGCGGGGGAGACCAAGAGAAAGAAGCTGACGAACCTCGGAAGCGCTTATGGGATGGCTCGATGACGGATATCAGATCGCCGGAGGGGATACCCAGCGGAACCGACGGCATCTTGATCGCCAGAGGTAACGGCTCCAGAGATCTGAGCATCGGGAGGCGGTGGAAACCGGGAGATCCTCCGTCCACCAAGATCGAATCCGGGGCCTCGCTTTCAAGGGGTTCGATCTTCGTTGTCGTCAGCTTCGGACAGCGTTCCGGGACGCAGGTAAGATGGTTCGAACCAGCTGCAGGCGAAAGAAGGATGTGTGAGTGGCCGACATCATCATGGGAGGAGCAGAATGGATGCCAGCCGGCGGCGATGGAGCTCGTCAATGGAAAGATTTTGGAGGCCGTCCCCCGCCTCTCCTCAGAGGACCCGAGGACGACGGAGGAAAGGGTGAGGGAGGGGGAGAAGAGGAGGGCCTTCGCGTTCTTGCCTTCCATCGTGCGACCTCGCGGTCCGCAAACCCCTACAGAGCCTACGTGGGAATGGAAATGGAACACAAACCGAAAGAAACAAGAGAGGGCAAGAGACTGCACAAGAAAGAACGAGAAGCGTCCGCCCTTATAAGGGCGAAGAGGGAGGGGACACGTGTGATGCTTCCACTGCTCGAAGCACGCGTCCTGGTGCGGACGCCCGTGAAGACTTGTATCGCGATCATACAAAGACGGGAACAATTTCAATTGGTTAGAAAAACGGGGCCGCGCCTTGCAAACACCGGGTGGCGGGGGACCCACAAATTTTCTCCAATGGCATCAGTTCTCACCGTAGGCGGGGAGTGAGAAAGGAAAATATTTTCTTTTGAAATGATTGGGGACCAAAACTGGAGGACGATAGCTCCGTGCCGGTGGTGCTCCCCCAAGCTGATTTCAGGCGTTCGATTCGGGGTGACACCGGCGTGGGCTCCCCAGGTTGCCGAAATCGAGTACGAGACCGGACGCCGACGGCGCCATATCCTTGTTTGTTTCCAGCGATGCCACCCATCGTGTGAAATAACAGGAACGCCACCACAGTAGGTTTGTTCGTAATCGAGGTGATCGGCGAGGAGCACAAGCATGATGGCATTTTGGTTATTATGAGGAATCTTCGTGCCAATGCGATACCGAGGAGACCGAGGCGGATCACACGTGCAGGGGCTCGCCTGTTGTAACGGCGTCGTTGTTTTGGGGCAAGCATTCCAGGAAATAACAAAAGTGCCCTGCTCACTCGGGAAAGGAGTGACTCGTTATCGGGCAATAAGGAAGAAGAAGTAGAGACACACTTGCGGATTGAACATTGTGTTTCTGTTTTGTGTTCCTTGACAAAGGACACGAGAGAGGAGTGATGAAAAGATTATAGGTTGTAGTAGGAGTAGAGCAAATACATGGGTAGTGTCTTTAAGTCTGGTTTTGTTTGACTCGAGCAAACTCAATAAATTGTGTTCTGCGCCTCCCAAATTGTTGTTGCATAAGATCATCACATAAAACATTTCTTAGTCAATTAGTCCTACGCATTACATTGGTCGACTGATCATTTCACATGTTATAATCACATAGCACTTAAAAGAGAAAAGAAAAAAAAAACCTTCTTCTCATTATTTATAATGAGTAAGATAATTGTAAATTTCTTTCTTCTTATTTATGATGAGTGATAGAAACATGTTGGTGATCAATCACCATCCAAAACTTATCGTCACGTGGAGACTACCATGGAAAGAGAAGGTCTTACTCACTCTCCACATGTCCACCCCCGTGGACCACAATCCAAGAGAGGTTATTCGAGCCTATCTATTCTTATTGTCCACATGGAAAAAATATTAAAAAGGGAACGTTGGGGTATAAAAGCTATCCACTTACATTGTACCAAGGGACTCTATTTTAGAGAAAAACTTATACTCCAAAAAGGATCACAGACTAACTTGAACGTCAAAGGAACCAAATCGAAAAACTTCTCTCGATATAGGTGTTCGTGCAGGTGACGCCTCGAAAGCTCAGAACCATCTCAAAGCCACTCCAGAATCACTTGGGAGTACTCCAAACTCTAGAACCACTTTGGAGTACTCCAATCTCTAAAACCACTTTGGAGCCAAAGCTTCTTCCATACCATTTATATCTAGGTATAAAAGCTCACTTTTAACATTGAGAAAAAGGGTTAGTTTGATAAACCTCTTATAATCTCGGCCTTCGTATATGTGACACATTGGGAGCTCGACATTCCTATCTCGGAGATACTTTAAATAATCCTACGCATATGGCTCCATACCATGCCGGCAAACCAAGACATCAATGATTTTTTTATTAACATTTTGATACTATGGCACGATATCATAGAAACATTTGCCTACCAACCCCTTTGATAAATACCCAAGCGAGGAGGTCCCGCTCTTGACCCATAGAACTTTCACTCGAGGGGCAATAACCACCCCTTCTACATGTAGACACATTCACCTCAGCGTGAATACTAATACAAAATTGACGTCCATTCAATAACTTAGGGGCGACCTCAACTCATTTGCTCATTCTTGTTAAGACATTCCTAAACCTCACCCAAAAGGTGCAAATGTTAATGAGTATAATGTAAGTTATTACTTTGCTCTTATTCTAATTGACCTAATAAGCGATGCTACTACCTCAACCATAGTCAGCAGTTCAATCGACACTAGCACCAATGGCCATTGGGGTTCCCCCACTGGATATAATACTAATATATCAAGAGCACTCGAGGCCCATCGAGCCACCGGTCGAGCAAGCACCTTGTTCCCCAACTACAAAATTCAACGGACTACCATGTGACCCTATTCCACCAAAATTCTAAACTCAATCGCTAGATTCGATAAATAAAATTTTGAGAATCCAACTACAATAAATAGACTAACTTTTGAAAGAAATGTAATAAGAATTCCAACAATCCAAAGAGGAAGGGTCAACTCCACCTCAGGTCGATCGTCGTTCACCACTAACATCTAGAGGAGCCAATCTCAACTAACTTTAATCTCCCACCATTAGAAACCTTCAATGAGAATATCGAACGCTAGAGTATATCCGTACTTTCTGTGCCCACATGTCATTATATAGCACTTCAGATATCCTGATGGGTCGTGCTTTCCCAACTATGTTAAGAAGCCAAACACGAGAATGGTATAATCATCCGAAGTCACTCTCCATTAGTTCCTTCATTTAGATCAATAGGAAATTTAAACTTCACTTCCTCGGGAATATATGCTCGAAGTCATCAGCGATAACACTTCTCAGACTTAGGTAAGGGGAGGAGGAGATGCTCTCATACTTCGTCACTTGATTCACCAACTAAATCTGAGGTATACAAGATGTTCATCCATCACTTGTCATACGAACTTTCATGATAATACTTAAGTCCTCTTGTCTTTTCTGATCATTGGTAGAGAGGCCATCGATGATGGTACCCGAAGTATTCTAGTGAGCCAATCAAAATCAACTAGAAGATAAGATCGAGGCAATGGTCTCTGGTAAATGTGAAAAGACACACAAAAAGCTAAGATAAGATAAGCTACAATCCCCACTGACCCTAAGGCCACCGTAGTGACGAAGAAGTGAAAGACCCGAATTACCTTGCTCAAGACACGAGTCAACCACCTTGAATATGATTAGAACCAAAATATTTTTATAGATAAAGGAGAAAAAACTCTTAACATACCCTTAAATGATAAAAACTTTATTAGCAAAGAAAGAAAGATCCAAATACTACCGCTTCTATTGAGATTACAGCCACAATATGAAATATTATCCGACTTAAAAGAATAGACTAAAGAACACATTGCCAGAGACATCTCAAATGGACATGAAGGCACCAGGAACCTTCATGTCCATCTCAAGGACTAGCGGAAATATAGATTGAAGTCATCATTAATCAACTTGCCTCGAGAGGAGACAACTCCTCAAGTCATAAAACTTATACCCGAGCTATCATTAAAAAGCACCCATGAATAGGGGATGACTTCAAAATAATCTTTAAGGAGGAATAAATGAATTATTAGATCATGTGGATTAGATCTAATAAGAATAAATAAGATATTAATATGTAGAGATCTACTAATCCAAGAGGCTTGGGTAATTTGATAGAGATGTAGTACCAAATAAGGTAAGATTCATATGGGTTAAGTGACAAGAACCTCTATAAATAGGAGGGGCCAAAATATGGTATAGGCTAGTCTCCTCTTGGCTACCCCTCTTATTCTCCGCCCTCTTTTCTCCTCTCCTCCTCAATCGATAGCCCTAGTTTGGGGCATGTGGATAGCAAGAAGGGTCGACTTCTTCTTCATCATGATGTAGCATTCGTGGTATGTGTGGAGAGGAAGAATGTGCAGTGATTTGAGGAGCATCGTCGCCCATCTACCATATGGTCTATCGCTAGAGATGAGGACAATTGATCTCTTTTATCCTCTCTCACAGATTTAGGATTTTTTAGGGATATATGATCTCTCCAAGTAATATATCTCACGTGATACACGAGATTTTTTAGTTTTATGTTTCTTGGCGTACCAATAATTGATAAGATATTTTTTGAGAAATCTAGGATTTTATTTTTCAGTTTTTTCGCTACATCTGTGATGCTCTGTCTGGAATTTCCAATAGAAACATTTCAAGTTTTAAAAAAGTTTTAACATATACCTCAATCCAACTAAGTGTGCTTTTGAAATCAGTTCAAAAAAGTTTCTTAAATTTATTGTTCATCAAAGTGGAGTCAATGTAAACCCTGAGAAACTTCAACCCATACTAAAAATACGCCCTCCTTAGTTGATAAGAGAAGTCTAATAATTAATAGGATGAATAATAATTCTTAGCCAATTCCTATCCCAATCAGATGAAAAATGCCTACCTTTCTTTTAAGCATTAAAGAAGTCAAAAGGTTTTCTATGAACCGAGGAATATCAAAAGACTTTCAAAAATATGAAATACTATCTCGCTCGGTTACCACAATTCTCCTTCTTGGGTGAAACTTTAAGTCTTTTTCTTGCTATCACCAACTCATATGTTAGCTCGGTGTTGGTTCAAGATGACTCAGGAGTTTAAAAGCCTATTTACTATGTTAATCATATCCTAAGTGGGCCCGAAGAATGATACTTCTCTATCAAGAGGCTCGTATTTGTAATGATACTGATAACAATGAAGATCTATACCTATTGTACAAGTGATTATCGACTAACCACTTAGATAAGTTCTTTTTCGATTCAATATCCTAGAATGACTGCTAAGATGGTCAATAGAATGGTTGAGTTCAATATCCAATATATGTCGAGGACTGCAATTAAGACCTAGGTATTAGTCGATTTTATCGTAGTGCTAATTCCCTCATCGGAGGTCAACAGTTACACCCTCTCAGTATGGACATTGTTATGGATAGCTTTGCCACCTTGAAAAAAGATGGTGTTAGACGCATTCTGAATGACCCAAACAAATAGATATACGAACGAGCCCTCCGATTCAAATTTAAGATCTCCAACAATGAAGTAGAATATGAATTACTCCTCTCAAAACTCAAGCTCACTCAGGAGTTTCAAGTTTAATACTTGATAGTATTCAGTAACTCGTAATTAGTTGTGAGCTATGTTAAAGGGAGTTATTAGGCCCAAGATACAATAATAGCAAAGTATCTTATTAAGATGCAGAAAATTAGCTCACAATTTCTCCCAACTAAATGTGTTATGGATCTCCCATGAAGAAAATATCAAAGCCAATGCACTCACCAAGCTAACATTCACTCGGGCTCCGAAGGAAAGCAAACATATGGTTGAAACACTATTGATTCGAACTATTGAGAAACATGATGTATCTATGGTCAGGAGGGAATTAAGTTGGATGAATAATATTATATGCTATAAAGGAGATGTGATGCTCCCGAATAACCCTACAGCGACCCAAAAAGATAAGCATCATCAAACATGATATAAAATAATTAACAATCACCTATATTGCAAGTTCTTTGGTCAATCACTCCTTAGATATCTAGCATCCTAAGAAGTTAAGAAGGTGCTTACTAAGGTACATGAATGTATTTATGGGAAGCATATTAGTGGACAGACTATAGCTTGCAAAGTGCTTCGAAAAGGATTTTACTAATTGACATTGTGCAAGGATATAATAACCTATGCCTATATAGACCACTGATGTTAAAAGTTTTCTCGGATGCAATACCAACCAATAGTCTCTCTAAGCTCGATCGACTGCAAATGACCCTTTGCCTAATGAGAGGTGGATCTCCTCTGACCATTTCCACCGGCCTCGGGCTAACGAAGGTTCCTCATCATGTGAGTAGACTATTTCATAAAATTGATAGAGGCTGAACTACTAGCATCGATTATCGAGAAGCAAATCAAAAATTTTATATAAAAAAAAATCATCACTTGTTTTGGAATCCCAAGGACTCTCATCACTGATAATGAGACATAATTTAACAATATGATATTTATGAGGTTTTGTCAATCTTACGAGATTTAACTTAGGTTCAGCTCGATAACTCATCCTCAAACCAACGGTCTTATCGAGGTCACCAACCTAGCTATTCTTAATGGGATAAAGAAGTAGGTTGTTAGGGCTAAGGGTACCTAAGTAGATGAGCTACCAAGCATCTTATAGGTCTCTTGGATAACACAAAAGATTGGGTTAGGAGAATCACTACTCAGCTTAGCGTTTAGTATTGAGACTATCCTACCACCAAGATAACCTTCCTGACACCTCAAGTTAAGAACTTTAATAAGAAAACTTTCGAAAAAGAACTTTGAATTAAACTTTACATAATTAGCAAAGTCTAAGCAAAAGCACATATACGACCCTTGAGATATAAAAAGATAATGGTTAAGCTGTATAATCGAAGTGTTTGCCTTTAAGGAGTCGAATTAGGGGGCTTAATGCATCTCAAAACTAAGGTTAGTAACCCGATCAGCTCTCGAAAAAAGTTAGCGCTAAACTATGAAGGGTCATATCAAATAACTAAGGTCCTCTGAGATGAAACATATCATCTCAGGATAACAAAGATGTGATGATGTCGAGAATATGACACATTGTATACTTAAAAAAGTTTTATCCCTAAGGTTTTTCTCAAGATTAAGTCGGGGAAAACTATACATATAACAAATGTCAATCTACATAACCCAAGACACCGATGATGGAGTCTACCTTTAAGATACCATCGTTGCAAATTAAGAAAAAGAAACTTCATTACTTAAGAAAAAATTTATCAGTTCGATCGAGCTTCTACATTCAAAATGAGATCCCGATGTATCAAAATAAAGGATTAAAGTGGCAGATACACATGACATAAACAACAAGTCATGAAGACTAGCCTAATGAAAGATGACAGCTTAGGCAATGAGTTGAGGCTATTATCAAATGGAACCTTAATTGCTATCGGGGTAAAATACGAGAATCCTAAATCTCGTATTGTTAAATTTGTATGAGAAAAGAGAGATATCCCGACCTAAGGAGACGAAAAAGCAAAAACGTAGAAGATCGATTTATTGATGAATCGACACAAAGACTACGAAAGATGCAAGAATCAACTCACCTTTTAGAAAACTAGGATAAAATAGGAAAGACTTCTAAGGAGGTTTTGGAGGCTCAAATAGAAGAATAGACCTCACATCTAAGATGTATAGGGATTTATATGAAGGAAATCGATTTCTCTCCTTCCATGATTGAAACAAGTGTCATTTTGGGATACTTTCTAAGAGAAGCTAACAAATTACGGACTTCAAATGGGTCAAACAAAGGATTCAAAAAACATCGATTAATGATTTAGAAACATGTCAGATGAATAATTCAAAATGTGCTAAGAAGGACTTGAGAAGTGCAGAAATCTGTCATGATGAAAGTACAAAGTAAAATATATTTAAAGCATATGAGTCGAAAAAATCTGACTCATATAAAGAGAAATTTATTACAATGGAGGCACAGAGAAAATGTTCCTAAGACATAAGTTATAAAAACATGGCCTGCGTAAATAGAAATCCATCATTATATAGGCACAAGATAAAATGTATCTAAAGCACGTAAATAAAAAAACTTGATCCAGTGAAAAGAAATCTACCACGATGGAAGTATAAGACAAAATATGCTCGAGATGCGTGAGTCGAGAAAGCTCGACTCGAGTGAAGAGAAATCCATCATGACGAAGGCAGAAAGCCAAAATACGCCTAAGGCATGAGTTAGGATACCCCTAATGTGTCGGATGAACCAAATGCTACACTTCAAGCTCCTCTTAAAAGAGCCTCAAAGCATGCTTTCTGGAGGCAAAGGGGTGAGGGAATAAATGATAGGGGATACATTATCGATTAATCATCCAACACGTTACCGTCACGTAATGCTCAAAGAGCAAAGAGAAGATAAAGCTTCCTTCTCATTATTTATGACAGGAAAGATAATCGTAAGTTTTATTCTCACCATTTATAATGAAAAAAACAATCATATGCTTTATTCTCATAATTTATGATGATAAGAGCAATCGTAAGCATCTTTCATACATTTTACAATCAGGTACAAAGGCTCACTTTTAATACAGAGAAAAAGGAGGGAACACTCTTATATCTCATCTTTGATACCTTTTAAAATCAAGTACAAATGCTCACTTTTAATACAAAGAAAAAGAGGGGAACTTACATCCACACTCTTATATTTTGGGTTATTAACTTGAGCATAAGAGGGATTAGGGTGAGAAATCTCTTCTGACCTTGATCTTCATACAAGTGACATCTCCAAAGCTCGACATTCTCAACTCAAAGATATCTCAACCAGTTTTATGCATATGGGTGCAGATCATATTGAACTGACTAAGCCGTGAATGCTATTTTCTCCTAATAATTTACATTCATATCCTCATCTAACCTTTGATGTTTAGCATATTTTCTTAAAACTTTAGTAACATGTCATCCGCTGTCTATTGCTAATTTAAACTAACAACACAAGTTTTTATTGCAATATCTTTGTCAAACTTAATATATCGGTAAGGGTAAAGGTAAATGTTCATGGAAGATGTTGAAAAATGTACAAAAGAGAACAATAAATATAAATAATATAGAATACAAATAATATAGACATCAACACAATTTACGGTCTTTTGTTGTCGTATATAGATTGCGTGCAAAAAAAATAATGATCTTCTATTATCATCAACTTGGGTTGGACCCACGTAACAATATGATACTGCCAATTTAGTGGTTTTCGAGTTATCATATCAAAGAATGTAATGTCAGGATATGTTAGCATGCTTCATGTAAAATTCACATCTTCCAAGTTCATGAAGAGACATGACAAAGCCCTATTACACAAAGAAGGACGAGAATGATCAGATTTTGTAGAGAGTAGTAATGAAGAATCTACAAATTCATTATGGAAGACCATCCTAAGATCTCAAAGGGACTTAAGAACATGATGAATGGACACAAAATTTTTTTCTATCAAATTTAACGATTTGACTAATCATACTAAGATGATTTTATCAGATCAAATAGTATTTATTATATATATATATATATATATATATCCTGCATGCAGATTTTGATGATGATCAATGGGGGAAGGAATAGATAAAACGTCACTATAGCACTGAATTGCGCATTATTGCACACATCAAATGTGAAGTCCCATCACATGACCTGCACCAGCACGATTGGGCACATGAATGACAAACATGTTACGCAACATGACAAATATGCCATAATGAATGACTTGGACCATTCTAATAGAATGACAGCTGATGCCTTGTCATCACCAGCCAAGCCACATGTTGAAGTCTTATTGGAGAGCTTTCTCCCACTACAGATTGCTTAGCTGGCACAGCTCACCGTCCTCACCGAAACCATCTCAAGACGTACTCGATTGATGAAACAGGTTCGAGAGATGAACGAAGAAGGAGAGGCAATAAAATCGTTTTAAAGACATTTACCATTTTCCATGTACTGCACAGCATAAGTCTCAGTAAAGGAGAGAGAGAGAGAGATGAATATTGAATACAGAGGAAGAGGAATATTATATGGTCCTAGTTATTGTCTCTGATGCAGGAATCCTTCTCTTCTGCCAACGAGCCCTGCAAATCCAAGCAAGCAAACAAAAGAAACGTAAGTTAAGGAGAAAAGAGTGCAGTAAAGAATATTGATTCGTGCCAGTAACACAGGGAAGGAACAAACAAGACAGGGAAAAGAACTGCACAAGAAACGCAAGCACACTAAGAAACCGAAACACAAGATCAATATGAGAGAGTCAAAAGTGGAAAAACTCATCACTGAATTATAACAAGCTATCCATTTTGTCTAGATTTAAAGAGGAAAAAATCAAACTTGAAGATGTAATATTTGGAATAAAGAACTGAAAAGGCCAGGAAATAAATGTGCATCGGGTGGAAATCAAGCAGAGCAGCAGTAAATACAACCATTCCTATTCGAAACGGAAACAGAAATCGAAGCTCCATAATAATTCCATTAAGATGTGAAACGCCCGCCAAGATCGCTTCTTTCTTGAGTTCTGTAACTCACCTATTCCGGCCGCCGCTTCGTCTTCCGCCGGGATGCAGTCCGGCGGCTCCTCAAAGGCCGAGACGGCGAGCCGCTTGCGGGCGACGCCGATGTCGAAGAGGATGACGCCCGAGGCCGGGTCGGCGACGACGATCCCCTTGACGGGGAGCCACAAAAAGAGCTCCTCCTGCGACCACCCGACCACCCCGCGGAGCGCGCCGTAGCTGAGGTTGCCCCGCACCTGGCTTTCGAAGTAAGCGAGCCCATCGTCGAAGCGGGCGTAGCAGGGGCGGACGAGGCGGACATCCAGGAGGCCAGAGGAGGAATCATGGGAGAAGGACTCCACAGCATTGGGAAGGAGTCCGCCAGGGAGGCCGTGGTTCTGGAGGAGGTTCTGGATGGAGGTGGCGCCGGACGCCCCGGAGGAGAACGAGAACATGAGGAAGAGAGGGAGAAGGGCAAAGCAGGCTGTCCAAGGCAAAATGACACAGAAAGGTGCGAGCTTTTCCATTGGAGAGAAAGGGAATGAGGTAGACGGATAGAGGGTTTTAAGGGTGGGTTCGGTTTATAGATGGATGGAGAGATTTAGAAGGGGAAGGGGGAATAAATGGGCTTGAAGGTAAGGGAAGGAAGGAGGCAAAGGGATGCCTTGGAATTGCTTAAATACAACTTAAAAAGATTAAAATTGGCATTTTGATGGGTCTAATTGAAATAAATAAATATATATATATATATATATATATATATATATAT